CCTGGGGCGCAGCTTTCGGCCGCCCCCTTGCTCCGCCCGTTGCCTTCTTTGGTTCTTTCCGCTGTCGTTTGGATGCGCGATCGTCTTCCTCTTCTTGCTCCGCCTTGTCTCCGTCGGAATTACGCGAGCGTCGTCGTTTGGGCGCGCTGACCTCTTCCGCCTCAGGCTCAGGTTCGTCTGACTGGGTCTTCTCCTTGCCCTTGCCCTTGGCTGGCCTGCCTCTCCTCTTAACAGGCGCTTCCTCTGGTTCGGACTCACGGTTTGACTGTTCCTCTGCCTCTTCCTGGATAGCTGGCTTCGCCTTTGGTGGACGGCCTTTGCGCTTGGCAGGCTGCTTCGGAGCCTCCGCTTCTGAAATTTCCTCTGTTTCCGATGCTGCTGGCTCAGATTCAGGTTCTGGCACTTCACCGTCGTCCATGCTGACCATTTGCATCGACTCCTCCTCCCCGTTTTCGACATGGCCGTTTTGCGCCTGTAGCACAGCCTCCTCTTCTTCTTCTTCTTCGTCTTCGGGAGACACTGCGCGTCCACTTTTGAATCCGTTGGGACGTTTACCATTCAACCCGGGTCCGTTTTTCTCCAGGGCGCCGTAGTCAAGTTTGCGTGATACTGGAGCTCCACGAGTTGGCTGAGGTTCTATCGGCGACGATGATCTCCGCTGGGGTGATAGCCGTGTCGGTGACGAGGAAGGGCCGAAGCTCGGGTGGCGCATCGCAGGTGATCCGAGGTTCGTCTTGCGCGGGGAGGTTCCTCGGGGAACGAGCCGAGGGTGGTTCTTCATAATGGTGGAAGGCCCGGGACCGGATTCTAATGCGAAACTTCGTCAGAAAGCGAGCGATGCTGCACAATCCCAGTAGGGCTTACCCGACTCCAGCTCCATGTCCTGTTCTCCATCGTCGCTGGCGGATCCATTGTCCTTCTCCGGTGAGGAGAACAGGCCGTCGATGGGTTGCATGCCATGTTCGTCGCGTACGCCCGTGTCGGGCAATTCAATGCCAGTCTTGCTGTTGGGATGTCAGTCCAACAAGTCCATATGCAAATTCGAGCTTGCGATCCACGCCAGCCCGAGGGAAGGAGTGCGCGACGCACCGTCCTTTCACACCAAGCTCATGGAAATCGCCTGTGGAGGTCTCGCGACGACGGACGTTGCTCTGTCGCGGCGGTGCCATTGCGAATGTGGAGTTGTGAAGTGGTCCGGTTCGAGAAATTTTATTAAAATTCGAGATGGAGCATCCCGATCTGGGTTTTCAGCACGAGTGACTCGGGTGAGAATGAAGGGACGTCGTGGACCGGATGGTGGCCGTGTTTATCTTGGGGTGAGGTGTTGTTGGGGAGGTTGACCGCGCGCAACTTTTTGGTTGACAAGTAAATTGACGGCGCGCGCTGGACACACCTGTGTCGATGGACTTTCAGTGGCCGGGGCCTGCTGCAAATCGGGGTTGACAGGGGCAGGTACGTGTGGACTTGGCGCCCCTGCTCAACGCGTCCCCATTAATCTAGACGCGTCGAGGGGCTAGCCAACAAGATTTCCCGATCCTACCTAAGTTCAAGTCACTTTGAGTGAACAACTGACCTTGGTTTTGACAGTCTCAACTGTTTTGGTATTCAGCTAGGAGTTTGGAAGCACTTGTTTCTCAAAGGATACCCATACGACAACATACCGTCCATACGACACTGCTCTTTTACCTTATACAGCGGCACCTAGGGCGAATCCAGATTGCTCTCAACTCATCTCCAGCTCACCAGTCGCAATGGAAGACTCTCCAATGGTCGAGGATATCGCTCTCGAGACCCCAGTCCCGGGCGCCTTTGTTCCCCCTTCTATCAACGAAAAGGCCATTCTCTCGGGCGACTCATACACCTACTTCTCGCCAGTTCCCTCAACACTTCTCCCACCAGCCTCATCGACAAAAACCAGCACACCTGACGAATCAGATTCACCAGCAGCGTCCGGCACTCCAGTCTGCTTAGGTGTCGATGAGGCCGGCCGCGGACCGGTCTTGGGACCCATGGTGTATGGTGTATTTTACCTACCCATTCCCCTCTCGGACCCCTTACTCCGTGAGACCCATCACTTTGACGACTCCAAAGTGCTTACACCGGCCGTCCGCTCACAACTCATGACGGCTCTATGTACGCCGGGCTCCGACTTGGCCGAGACTTGCGGCTTCGCCATCTCAGCACTCAGTGCCCGCGACATCTCATCTGGCATGATGCGCCCGGGAGCCAACTATAACCTCAACGCCCAGGCCATGGACGCCACCGTTGACTTGATCAAGGGTGTCTTTGCCCAGGGCGTCAACATCCAGGAGATTTACGTCGATACCGTCGGTCAGCCCGCCGCCTACCAAGCCAAGCTCCAGCGCTTCTTTCCCGCAACAAAGATTACAGTCGCGAAGAAGGCAGACAGTCTCTACCCCTGTGTATCGGCCGCTTCTGTATGCGCAAAGGTTACCCGCGATGTTGCGCTTGAGGTTCTCTACAAGGGGCGAGCCCCTGACGCTGTGGCAGAGGGAGAGGAGGGCATGGCCTGGGGTTCAGGATATCCATCAGATGGACGCTGTGTGTCATGGATGAGATCCAACATGCACCCGGTGTTTGGATGGGGTCCCGAATGCCGGTTCAGTTGGGGCACGGCCAAGGACATGCTCGAGGCAAAGGGAAACCCAAAGGTGGAATGGCCGGTCGAAGATGACGGCGATACCGCGCGGATGACAGACTACTTTGCGTCGGGGAACAGGGAAGAAGATGGTGATGAATTGGGGACTTGGTTTGGCAGGCCGGCTGGCCTAGAGGCGTTTTAGCATAATAGTTCAGATTGGGATTGTATAGTATGTCTCGCTATTTGAATGCCGCCTTGAAGGTGTTAATATCTTGCGCTGCCTACCCTTACGACGTCCACATGTATGACCGATGATATGTGAATAGGCTGCAGTAAACAACGATGGTTTGCTTACGTTTAAGTCTCGTCGACATCGTCTACAGATAGTGCCTTGCCATTGTATCGTTATGTCTGTAGAGGAGATAGTCACCCACTGTTATGTCACAGTCCTTCAATGAGGTGGTCGGTCGTAGCCATACAGTCCCGGCCGCGTCTGGCTAGCATCACGAACAGCCTCATTGTCCACGTTTCTTAGTATAACCATGTTCCAAGTGTTGACAAACAGCGACAAGCCAATGCTTTGCATTTGTCCACCTTCTCAGCCATGTCAAAGCTGGTCATGTCACACGGTTCCTATCATTTATTGGCGTGTCTGTGTAGCACCTCGTCATGCTGTCTACTCCACTCGCAGCCGAGACGGTCCCCTCTTGATCTGACCATCGTCTCGTTTTGATGATGAACACACTTGCACACTCTATGTACAGCTATCATGAGCGATCCACTCTGAAGAACAGGGGAACAAGTACCATCAATTTCCCATCTTCACATGGTCGCATCTTCCATTGGCTACTTTTCATCATAGAGTAGATAGGCTTATTGTAGGTTTCTCATCACCGTGTTGATCAGCCATAAAAGCACTCAATACTTGATGGATTCAGTATAATTTACATGTTTGTTGTCGGAGACGTTGGAAAGCTCCCAGGTAGCCTATCCTTTGATCACAAACTTTTCATTGGCTCAGCCGTGATCAGTCACTGGGAATTGAACAGCTGCGGAAAGAATCGAGGCAGAATTACGACGTATGGAGTGTTCCCTGATCACAAAGAGGGCATTTTGAGGTGGCGGTAAACTAATGATACTTACCACTAGGATACATCATAAGGAAATCAGCATAATATGGCAGTTATTGATTCAGGTATTGTGAGAAAAATAGAAAACCTACATGACATACAACTGTTTAGACAACTGTTTAGGAAGGATTGTTCGAAATCTGAAAAGACCTACGTAAGCCGAAGCTGCGTTTTCCTTTCAGCAGAATCACCGGGCGGTAAAGGCACTGTTCACGTACAAAGAGCTTCGCAGTTGGGAGGAGATGAAGAAGCGCAAGTCTGAACCCGAAGGGAATTTTACGAAGGCAGGCTAAGGCGACTACTGGATTCAGATAAATAGAAGCAATCTTACTTATCTCAGCTAGGCGTCACCTGTCCAAAATCTACTCCACCAGACGTGTTCACCCTTTGCGCTATGTGCCTCTCCAAATTTGCCAATACGCTTTATTCGCCCCTATCACTCACATACTTCAACGAGGATCATACGTCGCTTTGTTCCTCCACTTGATTCTGGACTTACCTCCTTGCCGCAAGCTTCATCATGTCGTTTCCTAATACCACTGTTAGAGCCAGAATCATCAGATTCTGTAAGCTACCTGAGGATGCGTCAGTTATGCTGATGAAAGATAACTACCCATTGTTGTATATTGGCATGACCGGAATTATTCGAGATCCTTCCAAAAGGATAGAGGGCCGCTATGTAGAGTTTGAGCCTTACCCTCGGGAAAAAACTCAGTGGGGACTTTATTGCAGCCCAGAAAAGTTCATGGACCTTGTCATTCTTCCGGAGGAGTGCCTGGCGATAGGCCCTCCCTTGGCGTCATGTTCCTGTAAGAAATTCGAGGGCTCGGGCCCGGTTGTGGAGATCGACAAAAGAATCGAGATGCCGTTTGAACGCCTTCTCGTCGCATTCTTCGGGTCGTGTGAAATTCGCAATGATGATCTAAGTCGTGTCGGGGTGAGTCTTCATCAGCTTGACATATTGAAGCAGCCAAAGAAAATCGAGAGCATCGCGAAAAAAATGGTTCAAGATCAGTAGACAAAGCAACTTGTGACGAGAATCTGAGATGTTGATAGCAACACTAGGTTTCGAGAAGATGGGAACTCTGGATCTGTTTGGAAACGGAATGCCCAGCCTCAAGGACATCATATCGAGGGCTACCGAGGTCGATAGACTCCCTATTGAGGAGAGAAACAAACGGGACAACGAGCACGTACTCTACATCACCGTCTACCACGAGAACAACAACTCTTCTTTGGAAAGTTACAGAGCCCATTGCTTCTGGAAGATGAGCACGAAGGGAACCGAGTACGTGAACAGCCAACGACAGAAGATCGAGTCCACAATGCCATCCCGTCATTCCGTCAATCATTACGAGTATATGAAGAGCTTTCTAAAGAAACACAAAGGAAAGTGGGCTGTCTATCCCATCGCCAGGATGGAGAAGCCTGACCCCTCTGACGGCCCATCATGGCATACTTGGGCAGAACAGGCAATAATTTCTCTATACGATGCCTACCATCCAGGCATGCGAGACATGCCTTGGGAGGGCTTCAGTAACAAGGCCACCTGTTTGCCCGGTTAGGTCGCTAGTATCTGTACAGGAATCGCTGCCTTGATTACGGCATCTGACGCATTTTCTTCATTCGCGAGACCCAGCTTCTTGGCTAGTCCTGGCTCGGACAGTGGCCTCGAGAGTGGCCTTAATTGGAACAGCCCAATCTTGGAGCTGTATCGTGCTGCAAATGGCCTTTGGACGGGGCCCGAAAGAATTCGTCATGGGGATGATACATCTTGCTGGCTCTACAAGGGACCGCCGTGCAGAGTTGACGACAACGGTGATATCAACGATCCCAATAGACTCTCCGTCACCTTGTTTCCACACCGAATGCCAAAAAACGTAAAAGACGCGAAGGAAAATATTCAGCGCCTCCGCCTTCCCTTGAGGAAGAATCACGGCGGCGAATGGAAAGTCAAGGATGGCGACTACGTAATTCCTGTAGTCGAGATTGCACGTCCTTCGACGAATCATTGCCATCCTTGTTCATACGAGAAATTTGACGGCGTCGGCTCATACGATAACTTCTTGGAGACGTTCAGAATAGCCTATCGCATCGAGTACACGAATGCAGATGGAAACCTCGAGACTAGGTACTTGCCGTCAGACCTTTCTGGGAGCCATGGTACGAAAGAACAGAGAGACTCTATGGATGAGAAATGGGTCCAGGCAATATCCGTCCTCGCGACATTTGAAGATGAGTGGAATAGGAGACCCAAACGTGTCCCGGCATCTCTCATAGACGAGTGGCCGATCAGGCGTCACAATATCGAACCCAACTTCTTCACAGAGGGACTCAGAGCTGTTATTCCCATGAAAGTAAATCCGGACCGGCTCAAACGACTTACCGACAGGAAGACAAAGAAGCTATGGAAGAGCAATCTTGAAGACAAGTGGTTTCCCAATGTCGGAACAAATTGGCAGCAGCCATTCGTTATCAAACAAAAAAGCACTTCTCAACCTTTAGAGGCTGGTCACACTGAGAAAGCAGGCGATGGCAATGTCAAGTGTAAGGAGACGTGTCGATTCGTTTACGACTCAACGACGGCTCTTGATCCCGAGGAGGATACCTAGGGCGAACGAAAGGACCAGACTGACTGGGAGATATGCGACATCTCTGACTAGCAGAGGCCGCTCTCGCGCTTTGAGGTCAATTATTTAGTCCCCTCGTGTGGTGGTACACTTTGCAATCGAATGTGCTTGTAAAACTCACTAGTTCGAGCACTTGGTTGAATCTATTGGTTTCAAGAATTCGACTGAAATGCATTTGCGAGACTGCAGTCATTGGTACCCGAACAGCCGTCCGGGCTGTGGTCATATCGAGGTTCCGAGCCCGTTCCCAGACCCACTTATTACGGGATTCTTCTTTGGTCAGGCCCGGCCGGCCGGCTGGCCGGGTAAGCGGAGTCATTTCCGATTGTCGCAGCTTTTAATAGGCCATCTCTACGGAATACAGAGCATCCGTGCATCCCTTACCTAAGGTACCTAGGTACCTTTACCATTCCCGCTGGTGTCGGCGGAAGTTCTGTCTTTGCCTTCACCTTTGGTTGCTTAGTCGTTGTTGGGTACTGCCATCCGTGGGAGCATCAGGTACGAATACGTACCAAGAAAATGAGAAACAGAAAAAGCACAGAGGCACAAGAGGGGACCATAGCAGTAGGAGGGACAGAAGAAGAAAAACCCGCAATGGTGGGTTTCATTGGGCTGCCATGGCAACAAAGGCTGCCCTTTGCGCACCTGCATGTAGTGTTCACCACCTCACATACCACAAGAATAATTGCGATAGCAGCCTGATTTCCCAAATCAATTCCTTTTACCTAGCTGTGCCAGTCTGCCTGAATGTTCTTCTGAATGCTGCAGTCCTTTGCGTCCCTTCTCACCTTCGCCACCGCATTTCTTGGCGCTCACAACCCGACTGACATTGATCGCACCTCCTGTTGAATTCAATTGTCGCCCCTTGGTTGCTTGAGATCGAGGTGCCTGACTAAGGTCCAGAAAGGCCCCAGAATGGAGATTCGAGATGGTTGTGGTGGATAATAGATGCTTCATGAAGAGTCGCTGGGTCCGGTCGCTGGGCCACGCAGTGGCCCAGCTGTGTGGCCCAGTCTGGATGATATCACCTCACCAGCGATGGAAATTCTCTTTTCTGGAGCGGTGTGGATTCGTGGACGAGAGGGGAAAAGTAGAGGATACCTACACAGACCAGTTTTAAGGCGTGCATGGGAGCCAAGCCAGGGTACTGCGACAAGGGGCGCAAACGGGCTGCCCCTCCATAGACTTCATGGAAGCGTATGATGTCAGCGAATCGCCTTTCGCAGAATCTTTCTCACCTCGTTGGAATCGCCTTGCGAAGCGCTGGGGAATTGCCTCGAATCCTGAAAAATTGGAAACTTTGCCTCCTGGAGAGGCTGAAAAGGCCCTAGTCTCGAATTAATCCTTGTAGGGGTTGGTAGAAAATTTCAGGCGTGTTCGAGAGGCTCCTGGAAATGTCCCCAGCTGGGCCGCAGCGAATGTGGTACCCCACCAATTGAGGGTAGGTGGAAGAGGAAAGAACCATTTCGAATTTTTGCGGGGCACTGAGTCGCTCCTGCCTCCTACCTGCCGTCTACCTTTTAAGAATCCAAACACCATCACTCTACATCTCTCGATTCTTCACTCTCCACGAAATTCATTCTCCTTCTTAATACCCATCAAAAATCAGAAGTGTCCAGCGCATTTCTTTTTTCACCGAATTCTTGATCGCTGATATCAACTCTACCGGAATACAACTTCTCCCGGTTACGCGCACGAAGATACCCCTCCTTCACACGCAAAATCCAAAAACACCACATCACTTCTTCCACACAACACAACCATCACAATGGCTTCCGGAGGCAAGGCTGTCGGTATCGACCTGGGTACTACCTACTCGTAAGTCATTCATTCATTCCTGTCTTACTTTCGTCTCCTTCCCTGTCCACCCGCGCCCCATGTCACCATCACCAGGCAACCGGACGACTCCAGTCACTAACAGATCTTAGATGCGTCGCATACTACTCCAACGACAAGATTGAAATCATTGCAAACGACCAGGGCAATCGGACCACACCTTCCTTTGGAAAGTTTTTTTGTTTCCCCGTTATCCTCTAAAACAATTTTACTAATATTTTTGCAGTTGGTTTCACCGACACTGAGCGCCTGATCGGAGATGCGGCCAAGAACCAGGTCGCCATGAACCCCCACAACACGGTCTTCGATGCCAAGCGTCTCATTGGCCGCAAGTTCCAGGACTCCGAGGTCCAGGCCGATATGAAGCACTTCCCGTTCAAGGTTATCGAGAAGGGCGGCAAGCCCAACATCGAGGTCGAGTTCAAGGGCGAGACCAAGACCTTCACTCCCGAGGAGATCTCCGCCATGGTCCTGACCAAGATGCGCGAGACTGCTGAGTCCTTCCTCGGTGGCCAGGTCAACAATGCTGGTAAGTTACACATGTTCCAACATTACTTCAAGGTCACAGACTAACATATCCCAGTCGTCACTGTCCCTGCCTACTTCAACGACTCCCAGCGTCAGGCCACCAAGGACGCCGGTCTCATTGCCGGCCTCAACGTCCTTCGTATCATCAACGAGCCTACCGCTGCCGCCATTGCCTACGGTCTTGACAAGAAGGCCGAGGGCGAGCGCAACGTTCTCATCTTCGACCTTGGTGGTGGTACTTTCGATGTGTCTCTTTTGACCATTGAGGAGGGCATTTTCGAGGTCAAGTCCACCGCTGGTGACACTCACTTGGGTGGTGAGGACTTCGACAACCGTCTCGTCAACCACTTCGTCAACGAGTTCAAGCGCAAGCACAAGAAGGACCTGTCCTCCAACGCCCGCGCCCTGCGCCGTCTCCGCACCGCTTGCGAGCGTGCCAAGCGCACCCTGTCCTCGTCTGCCCAGACCTCCATCGAGATCGACTCCCTGTTCGAGGGTATCGACTTCTACACCTCCATCACCCGTGCTCGCTTCGAGGAGCTCTGCCAGGACCTGTTCCGCTCTACCATCCAGCCCGTCGACCGTGTCCTCACCGACGCCAAGGTCGACAAGTCCCAGGTCCACGAGATCGTCCTGGTCGGAGGTTCCACCCGTATCCCCCGTGTCCAGAAGCTCATCTCCGATTACTTCAACGGCAAGGAGCCCAACAAGTCCATCAACCCCGATGAGGCTGTTGCCTACGGTGCTGCCGTCCAGGCCGCCATTCTGTCCGGTGACACCTCCTCCAAGAGCACCAACGAGATCCTTCTTCTCGATGTTGCCCCTCTGTCCCTCGGTATCGAGACTGCTGGTGGCATGATGACCAAGCTCATTCCCCGCAACACCACCATCCCCACCAAGAAGTCCGAGGTCTTCTCCACCTTCTCCGACAACCAGCCCGGTGTCCTCATCCAGGTCTACGAGGGTGAGCGCCAGCGCACCAAGGACAACAACCTTCTCGGCAAGTTCGAGCTTACCGGTATTCCCCCCGCTCCCCGCGGTGTTCCCCAGATTGAGGTCACCTTCGACCTTGACGCCAACGGAATCATGAACGTCTCCGCCGTCGAGAAGGGTACCGGCAAGTCCAACAAGATTGTCATCACCAACGACAAGGGCCGCCTTTCCAAGGAGGACATCGAGCGCATGCTTGCTGAGGCCGAGAAGTTCAAGGATGAGGATGAGGCCGAGGCCCAGCGTGTCTCTGCCAAGAACGGCCTCGAGTCTTACGCCTACTCCCTCCGCAACACCCTCAGCGACTCCAAGGTTGACGAGAAGCTTGAGGCTGACGACAAGGAGAAGCTCAAGACTGAGATTGACACCATCGTCACCTGGCTCGACGAGAACCAGCAGGCTACTCGCGAGGAGTACGAGGAGCGCCAGAAGGAGCTCGAGGGCATTGCCAACCCCATCATGATGAAGTTCTACGGCTCTGCTGGCGGTCCCCCCGGTGCCGGTGGCGCCCCTGGCGGCTTCCCCGGTGCTCCCGGCGGCGCTCCCCCCGGCAACCACGACGACGGCCCCACCGTCGAGGAGGTTGACTAAATTGATACCCTTGATGAATTCTTTTCTTAGAGTCCGAGTCATGGGTGTGGTACCGCATAGGCTGCCACTGGGTTTCACGACTAGACTTTTGCTTTCTTTGCATTTATGAAATCACGATGGGAAAAGCACGGTTATGGGTCAGAGATGTATTCTAGCTAGGCTCCGCGGTTTAGGAAGTCTAATACAAAAACAGTAAAATTACTTGTGCAATCATTCATGCTTGTGATGTGCTCTAAACTCGGATAATATCCCAATGATGAACAAAAATGTAGTGGTTGTAGGAAATGGCTTCACTTTGCCTGACCGCGAAAATGTGAGAAGAGATGAATTCTTATTGTACAATTGTATCATGCTGCTGGTTCGATGCCGAGCCCCCGCCTTATCTGCTTTCGCCTCTCAATCTCCATCCTCTGCCACTCCTCGTCATTAATTGTGGGTTCCTCCAAACTCTCCGTAAATGCAATGCCCGGTGGGACCTTGGTGGTCCTTGCCTGCCAGACGTCCTCACTGCTTGGCTTGCCATTTCCATACTTTTCAAACTCCTTCTGACGATAATGGTCTCTTATGGCATCCTCCTTCATCTTCCCCGAGTAACTCTTGATCCTCATGCAGAACCAAAAGTCCTCCCAGTGTTCGCTGCAGGAGCGCATCGTGCCGTATCGGTAAATGCTGTTCCACTGGCCGCCGACAGACTGGCAGTGAAAGGCCATGTCAAACGCCTGGCGGCAAGACATCTCTGTCGGAAGGGTGGACTCAGCCACGGGGTTATCGGAGGGTGGCGTGATTGCACGGTTGCTCGTCTGAGAGGGGGAATCGGGTGAAGATTTGAGGGAGAACCATGATGAAGACGATGATGACTTGGACGGTGTGGAGGATGATTGTGCTGGCGCTGGCGCCTTTTCTTCTGGCTGACTGCCCGATTCGTTCTGGAAAAGGGCGAGGAACTTTGCAATCTCGGGATCGATCTCGGAGTCAGTCGTCTTAGTCGAGGATGGCGGGGTCGGCGCGGGAGCCTGTGAAGCTTGTCCCGGAGCGGGAGTCTTGGGGGGAGATGGTGAAGCCCAGAGCCAGCCCATTTTGAAGATTTGTTGATATCAAACTGAAGAGAGCGTAAGGAATCGGGTAAAGTCCCAAGGTGATATCGTCTTGGGCTGGTCGGACGCAGTCGAGAATGAGGGGAAGTCGGCAACCGTTACCATCAATGACCTCCAAGACGCCGCGTCTAGCCAATGAGTGGTTGCATGATTTTTGCCATAGCTGCGCGTGCTCTGGTGGGGCGTCGTCGGTTCGGATAAGATATCGTCCGTTTCGAAACTTAAGGTTATGGGGCGCGTTGGACCGCGCGGGCCTTCTAGTGGGGCCGCAAAACGTGACATCATCCCACGCGAACACCGGGGCTGACACTCTCGTGAAGAAGGAGCTAAGCAGCTCTGGTAAGGTGAGGTGAGGCAGGCAAGCTAGTCGGCTGCCTTGATTCTCTCTTCCATTCCCTTCCATCCAGCTGTTCACAACGTCCCGTCCTCAAACTCAATTCCACCGCCGCTTGTCAAAGCAACATGTGAGTCTGCATCGACATCCATCCAATGTTACCTACCAGAGCGCTGCTTCGCTCCGGCATGAGGCCTGCGCCTCGGCTGCAGATGACATGGGGCCTGCCCCGGCCAATTGCTCAATCCCAGCGACATGGAGCTATCGTGCGCGCTGCGTCCAAAGCATGGGAGAGCACCGTAACCGGCGACGAGAAGTCTGGGCATATCGCCACTTCGGAGAGCGAATCCATTCTCTTCTTTGACAGTAAGATTTCTGGTCACCCCTTCTCTCAGCGGAGTCATTCCTGCATCTGACCCAGGACCCCGCGTCCCGGGTTTGGCCCCTACCCTCTCCCAATTTTGGCCTCCTCCGAGCATCAAGTGTCGTATCGATGCTCTTCATTGTCTCTATTTCTCTCCTTGATCGCATGCCCTGCTTTCTCCCCACTTACAGTCTTGTCCTCTTCACCCTCACCACCTTTGTGCCTCTTGTTCAATGTCCATCGCGGCCAGCGCTCGCGCGAGGAAACAATACTGACAATAGCTGGTAGATCTCTTCCCTCTCAAGCTCACCTACCTCCTCCGACGGTCATGGCAGTCAGACCGTGACCTGACCGACCTTCTCAAGCGTTTCGATAGCTCTGGCGGAGGCCTTGGCACCGACCCAATCAACCTAGTGAAACGAGCGATCCCCGACAACCTCCCAATCAAAGTCACAGAGATCCTGCCGCGACTCAAAGACGGAGGAGCTTTTGTAAAATTCAGCCATGGTTCCGACGTTGTACCAAAAGATATTGAAAGTGAGTCTGAAATTCGTTCTAGTCCGTAATGACTTCTTCGTCGCTGTCTGAACTGAAGCTCCTCAACTCATGTAAATGCCTGGCTAACAACCCACCAGCATCGCTCGCTCGTTCGCTCGAAAAGAATCCCCTCAGACCGTGGTTCAACCCCTTCCGTGGGGTTCAGGCAGGATTGGTCAAGGGAGTTCCTTGGCTAGAGGACCTCTACCGGTTTCCCAAAAGTCGTGTCAAGGTCGAATTCACAGGAAAAGATGCAGGCGGCGAGGCCGTCGAACTCTCACAGGAGACCCTCTACAGTCTGTTTCGCAGATACGGAAAAATTGCCGAGATAACTTCACAGCCCTCCGACTCGAAGGTTCTCCCAAAGTATGCGTACATCGACTTTGCGCGCGTCCGCGACGCCATCATGGCGAGAAATTGTCTTCATGGATTCCTGGTTGACGAAGGTCTTGGTGGCGGGAAGATTGGCACAAGGCTTCGCCTATCCTACGAGCAAAAGGTCAAACCACACAACATCTGGAACTGGCTCACTAGCCATCCTAGGGTGGTAATTCCCGTTGTTGCCGCCCTCCTTGCTGCGATCACAGTGGCCATCTTCGACCCCATACGCGAATTCTTTGTCAAAGCCCATATCCAACATTCTTTTCGATTGAGCAACAACAAATTCTACCGATGGATCAAGAGCCAAACTTCCGATATTTTCTCCTCATTTGGGCACAAGAAGGCTGACAAGGCCGGATTCAGTGCAGTTTGGCAGCATCGCCGAGACCTCATCGAGCAGATCCAGACTTGGCTCCTTGAGAGCTCCGACACTTTCATCGTTGTTCAAGGCCCTCGGGGTTCAGGCAAAAAGGAGCTCGTCTTGGACCAGTCACTCAAGGGCAGGAAAAACGTTTTGGTGATCGACTGCAAGCCGATCATCGAGGCAAGGGGCGAAAGTGGAACTATCAAACACCTAGCTGCCGCCGTGGGCTACAAGCCGATCTTCGCTTTCTTGAACAGCATGAGCAGCATGATCGATTTGGCAGTACAGAGCACAACTGGGGTCAAGGCTGGCTTTTCCGAGACACTGGAGTCGCAGGTGGTCAAAATCCTTCACACAACCGCAGAGGCCCTAAAGGAAGTCTCCCTCGCGGGACGCGACAAGGATGGCAAGGATGGTGACCTTTCAGACGACGCATACCTTGAGGCCCGTCCAGACAAGCGAGCTGTTGTGGTCATTGATAACTTTCTGCACAAGAACGAAGGCTCGAGCCTGGTCTACGACAAGGTTGCGGAATGGGCTGCGGCCATGGTTCAGAACAATGTCGCCCACGTTATCTTCTTGACAGACGACACCTCTTACTCAAAGTCACTATCCAAGGCAATGCCGGATCGCGTCTTCCGCCAAGCTGCTTTGGGTGATCTCTCCCTTGATGTTGCCAAGAAATTCATTATCAGCCGTCTCGAAGAGGATGAAATCGAAAAGGTCCGAGAACAATCCAAGGAGGCAGAGGAGAAGGAGGATAAGCCCGAGCAACACCAAAAGCCCGATCTGTCGGAGCTGGACTCGGCAATCGGAATCCTCGGTGGCCGTCTCACAGATCTCGAATACCTTGCCAGACGCCTAAAGGGTGGCCAGAGCCCGCAGCGGGCCATTGAAGATATCATTAACCAGAGCGCCACTGAAATCGTCAAGATGTACCTTTTGGGTGGCAAGGATACTGTTGAGGGTAAGAAATGGTCCACCGAGCAGGCGTGGTACTTGATCAAGGCGCTTGCTTCTCACGATGCCCTTCGATACAACGAGGTTCTCCTGTCCGATACATTTGCCTCTTCCACCACCCCCGGCGCTGCGAACGGCGAGTCGGCCTTGGAAGGGCTCACAAACGCAGAGCTCGTTACGGTGGAGACCTACAACGGCCGGCCGCAAACGATCCGTCCCGGAAAACCGATGTACCAAGCAGCATTTAGTCTTTTGCTCGACGACCGCGTTCTGAAGGCTAAGATGGACCTGGCTCTTTTGAAAGAGCTTACCAAAGTGGAGGCTAAGGTCATTGAAAAGGCCGAGGGTGAGCTGGCTCTTCTGGGCAGCCTGCCAAAGCAGCCTGCTCAGACTGGGTCCCGAGTGTCGTATCTACTCGAAAAGCTTGAGAGCAGCCAAGTCAAGATTACAAAGTATGAGAAGGAGATTGCAGCGCTCAAGACGGTTCTCAAGCACAACTACTAAGGTTTTTATTATTTGGGAGACCATGCTCTCCATCAAGACCAGGCAGAGAATAACCGAAGACGATACACGTTGATCGATACCCTTCTCAACATTCCAGTAATAATAAATCGCCCAGCATTAATCAAACCCGTGCTTTATCAACACCCGTCACCATGTCAACGCCATTCTACCATCGCCGTCAATACATATGGCGCTATCAACTATCACTCTGTATTGTAAAGATAGCAAAGTAGCATAGTATGAAAGGCATCGACATCACAAGACGTCTGAATCACTTGTCCACACGATCCTCAATCAACAAGATTTCGGCTATCTTCAAGAATCTGCAATGTTCTGTTCACTTAGACATTGTGATCCACAACCACAGGTATGGTCTTTAGTGAGTATGAGTAACACAGGAAAGTGCGTACCGCCACACCTTACCTAAGGTACCTTACCTTTACGCAGTGGACCTCGGAGTCCTGGAACTTGCGGCCAATGAGACGCTTGGCATCGAAGACCGAGTTGTTGTGGGGGTTCATGGCGACCTAGTTCTTGGCGGCATCTCCGATTAGATAGGTGCTCATGATGCCCAGTATCGGTGAAACCAACTGCAAAAATATTAGTAAAATTGTTTTAGAGGATAACGGGAAACAAAAACTTTCCAAAGGAAGGTGTGGGCAACCCCCAAAACGCGTGGCCTCCGGCCACGGTTAATAAGGCAACTTCGAAGAGGCCAAGAAGCATTTTCTTCAACGTCCCTTACTGACCTAGGTAGAACCAAACTAGCGAGAAAATCAAGAATTCTATACCAGACCTCTCTACTAACGGTTCGAACATACAGTACTACAGAAGCAGTGAAGACTCCTCAAAATAAACCAGCTGATACCACTCAAACGTCTTACTGTTAGCAAGTATGAAAGATTGGATATTAGACTCCGCATCGTCTCCGCTTGCTGAAGGAACCAGTGCGGGGATCGACCGCTTCCACAGCCTTTTGGAGAAACGCATAGAAATACACCTGCCCCGCGGGGTTCGTTAGGGGTCCCTCGAAAATGACCATTTTACTGGTTGACAGTGCCAGGACAACACGACTCAGACCTCACCTATCGACCGGGAACTTGGCCGAAGGACACAAAGGTGCAAAGTCGTCCTTGGAACAAAACTCGGTCACAAGGTCATGTGCTTGCGGTGCAATCAGTCAGCCATGAACCCAATCAATCGAGGAAAATACGGAGTCCTTCTCTGGAAAGCTGCATCTTCCCAGCCAGGGTGCAGAGGAAAGCGATCATCGGCCCGATACCCCAGTGCGACAGCCCAAGCTTTTGCAGGCGACGATACAAGCATTTTAGAGGGCTGGGCATTTTCTCGGCAATTCTGGGCATTGCGGGCGGCTCTCTAGCACGTTTTCTTGGCTGCGACTCTAGCTGACGACGTCTCACCAATTCGCGATTCCTAATTCAACTAGACGATTCAACTAGGACGGGAATTCTGATGTCCAAATAATTAAATAAAAAGTGCGCCACAAATCTACCAAATAATCACGCGGCCTTTTCGCCGTCTTTTGTCGGTACTATGAAACTCCAGGAACGGATTTACACGAGCCGTTGCCGACTTGGCCCGACCAATTCCTCTGCGCCTTCGTACGATGGCACCATGTCTAAGTACCTAGAAAGCCATTCGGTTGGTTTCCAAGTGGAGATCTCGTTGACTGGTCTGCCAAAAAGACCAATGGCAAGCATACCGCCTCCAGACGGTGACGTCTTCATGCTGGCGTCGAAATGAGGAGTCGGTTTATCCTGGTCGAACGCGTTCTCTTTTTTGTCCTCTTCCCTAGTTCCCTTCCAACCATCTCTGGGTATGGAGAACGCATTTTCCGTGCGCCAAACCCCGCAAACCCGGGGTCAAGAAAGCGTACCCGGTTTATTCTGTCACTTCTAGATTCTCAGAGCGCAAGCAGAAAGATGCAATGGCGACCTCACATCGCGTTTGCAGAAGCCACGCGGACTTTGATCTCGACTACGACGTCAATCGCACCGTTCGTGGCGCTCTCGAGGAGATCTCTCATCATGTCTTGGCTTTTCCCAAATTCCCCGAGATAAGTGGCGGCATCTCCAAGCCTCCAACGACAGAATCCACAAACGATCCCGCCTCGAAGCGTTCCCCCCAGTCGATAGCCTACCCCGGAAACGGCGCTACTCTCCAAACATAGTGGGATCGGCAATTGGATGGCATCTCATCTGACAACGCCATTCCCGTCTTGCGCCGCACAGTAGCCCGCTCGCTCATTCACCTCGCATGTATACGACAGGGGCAATCAAGACGGTCAACATTCTCGGATTTGCTTGAGTCTTGCACTCAAATTTACTTGTGAAGGTATCCATCTGACCGGGTCCCACGTTTTGATTACGTTCTGTATCGAGTGACCAGGGTTCCTGTCCTTATCTCTTGCTACACGGACGTTCCCACACAACGTGTGTTGCGTGTGCCAGGACTCAACGCCGGACGTGCTTTTTCTGGGGAGGAAGTGAGAAGCAAGATCAGTCTGGGGAAACCCATGGGTTTGGACTGAAGGATACGACTAGAGAGCAACGGACCGTCAGAACCATGAATCCGTTCAGTCAAAGACGGGACCGTTAACGGCCAAGGCTGATCCGAAGAGCTTAGCTTTTGCTTTCGACTTTGCTGCCTGCGACGTCCAGCAGCCGGTATCATATTGTGCCGATCTCTGCCCAATTCCCCCAAAACAGAGGAGCGCTACCAAGGCGCCGGGCTTTGGTCCGCAGAACTCACTTCGAATGGCAGCCACTGCCAGTGGAGATCTCAAATGTCGCACAACGCAGATGCGCCCTGGCGGAGCATCGTTACATCTCTTTCGACCGGTAGTCCAATTAGGCCCCGGGATCTAGATGATGGGCCATGCAAGGCCGAACTTGCGAACCGTGTAGTGTGCTCTCCGCTGCCTTGGTCAGACCAAGAGAGAGCCGCCACTGTCATGGTACCCAGCCGTCCCATTCACGTACACCACGCGCGCGTGAGGGGAAATTATTTGCTCCATGGCCCATCTGAATAATAGCTACCATCTCCTTGCCCCCAAACCCCAGCGAATCCACTTTCAAAGGTTTGGACTTTCCCCATGGGTCGCCCCATTGTGGATCTATCTCTGGATGCTCGCACGCTGTGGTCTAGTCCCATTAACATGAAAGGAGAGGGAGAGGGAAACAAAGCCGGTCTACCTAGTTCGCGTTGACAGACGCCTTGAAGCTGCCGTTCTTGCCTTGCGGGGGAAGGTGGTTGCGCCGATCTAGTCCCCGTGAACCTTGTGCAGAGGTTGGGATGAGATATTGTCTGTGGGCGAGATACAAATACCCAGGCAATGCCCATCCCATGCTTTCTCGGTTTCCCCTCTTCTCGTCCGAGCCCTGTCTCTGTGTTGGACGATCACTCTCGGATTCTAGGCGCACTCCTTCGTAGAGACTTGACTGTCGTCCTGCGATAGACCAAGAGTATAGAGCTCGAAACACTTACACTTCAACCAAGAGGCCATCAAGCGTTGAGTCGTTGACAGCACTCAACGCGCCGCAACAATGTCGGACGACAAACACCTAGACGGAACTGCGGTGTAAGCATTACGCACTCACAATGAATCTTCGAACTTCAACTAACACATCCAGCTCGGGCGACTTCTCCAACATGGAGAAAGCCCGTCGCGGATCCCAAGCAACAGTAGACCTAAACGACAACGTCGACGCAAAGTCCGTTCTCTGCCTCCAGTTCCTCAATCGAACGTAACCTAACTACCCACCCAACAGGATCAGGAACCCCCTCCTCGGCATCACCCGCGCCGAGCTCCTCCGCGACGTCGAAGCCTTTGCCCACGACAAGGGCCTGCAAGAGTACATACCCGTCTTGAAAAAGGGCGCCCTCGTCGCCCAGGACCCGACGGGCTACGAGGAGATTGACGGCCCCGAAGCCCTCGACGCCACCGAGATCCAGATCCTCCGCGACGAGATCGAGCACAAGTGGCGCATCCCCAAGATCCTGTACCTCACCATCATCACCTGCTCCATCGGCGCCGCCGTCCAGGGGTGGGATCAGACGGGTAGCAACGGCGCGAATCTGTCGTTTCCCACGGTGTTTGGGATCGGGGGAACTTCGCATCATGATACTCTCCTCGTACGTCTCACTCACTCACGCGCAAGCCATGTGCTTGGTATCATCACATGCTAACACTCTCAAAAGGTCGGCCTCGTCAACGCGGCGCCGTACATCGGCAGCGCCCTCATCGGCTGCTGGCTCTCGGATCCGCTCAACAACTTCTTTGGACGCCGCGGCGCAATCTTCTTCGCCGCCAACTTTTGCCTCTGGCCCGTCATCGGGAGCGCCTTCTCCCAGACCTGGCCGCAGCTGCTCGGCTGCCGTATCCTTCTCGGCATCGGCATGGGAGCGAAAGCCAGCACGGTGCCCATCTTTGCCGCCGAGAACTCGCCCGCGCCGATTCGCGGCGCTCTTGTCATGACATGGCGTGAGTGACCACTCATCGTGTTTGATACAAGTATCATGACCCGCTGTGTACTGACTACAATGTCGACAGAACTCTGGACAGCCTTCGGCATCGCAGCCGGAACGGCAGCCAACCTCGCCGTCGCCAAGACCGGCGCCATCGCCTGGCGCCTCCAGCTCGGGTCCGCCTTCATCCCGGCCTTACCGCTCGTGCTGCTCATCTACATCTGCCCAGAGTCCCCGCGCTGGTACATCAAGAAGAACCGGTTCCCCGATGCCATGAAGTCGCTGCTGCGGCTGCGCAACCACCCGATCCAGGCCGCGCGCGACATCTACTACATCCACACCCAGCTCCAGGTCGAGGCCGAGATTGTCGGGCGGTCCAACTACGCGAAGCGCTTTGTCGAGTTGTTCACCATTCCGCGTATTAGACGGTGAGTGATGTCCATGATAGGATGGGAGGGGGGAAACGTAAGATGAATGTCGAGACTGACAAGCGATTGATATAGCGCCACGCTGGCTTCCTTCACCGTCATGATTGCCCAGCAAATGTGTGGTAAGTCGTCACCCCCCGTCTTTGAATACCCCTGAATCAATACTCACCAGTGAACAGGAATCAACATCATTGCATTCTATTCCAGCACAATCTTCAAAGAGGCCGGCACATCAGAGTACAACGCCCTCCTCGCCTCCTTCGGCTTCGGCATGGTCAACTTCCTCTTCGCCTGGCCCGCCATCTGGACCATCGACACCTTTGGCCGCCGCTCCCTCCTCCTCTTCACCTTCCCCCAGATGGCGTGGACGCTGCTCGCCGCGGGTCTCTGCACGCTCATCCCGGGCACCGGAGGCGCTCACCTGGGCCTCGTGGCGTTGTTCGTCTACCTCTTTGCCGGTATGTCCCTTCTAACATCATCCACATGGTACATATCAAGAAGAAGAAGAAGAAACACTAACAAAGTCACACAGCATTCTACTCACCAGGCGAAGGCCCCGTCCCCTTCACCTACTCCGCCGAGGTCTTCCCCCTCTCCCACCGCGAGGTAGGAATGTCCTGGGCCGTAGCAACCTGCCTCTTCTGGGCCGCCGTCCTCTCCATCAGCTTCCCCATCATGCTCGCCGACCTCGGCGTCGTGGGCTCCTTTAGCTTCTACGCCGGCCTCAACGTCGTCGCCCTCGTCATGATCT